TAAAACCCTAGAATTGATATTTTTTTAATTCTTTTTCATTTTTAAAACTTAACATTCATGTGTTTGCCCACTTGTGGGTTTAACACACGTTCCACGCCTCTTTCTTGAATACAGTCTGAAAATCAGTAACTACATCACACCTAAGAAAATTTTGAGCTTTAGCTTATAATTTGTTATTCCACATTGATATCAACAAATACTTACCATAAAAGTATTCATATTTATAATACAAAGGATTCCGAAAAAGTTTATCTTATACAATAATTTTTTCGATAAATTTTTCAGTCATGACATTTATCGAGTAAGTTTGTGCAACCGAACAGCCTCGTTATGTTTTACTTTTTATTTAAAACACATATATTTATTATCTCGTTGAGTTTTTTAATACGTATTAAATTGTAAAGCTTGTTTTCTACCAACCAAAATGCTTGTATATAGGATAAAGTTAGACAAAAGCATATTTTTATATATGAACGCGCACGTTTCTTTGGGCCCGTTCACTACGCTGATTTGAGTTTGTAATTCGAGTTGAGATGTAATTTTATGCGAGAGCTTTTTACTGTAGCAGAAAAGTTATATGTGACTATTTCTGAGAACTTTTTACTGTAACAAAACTCAAATTCTAAACTCGAATCGATGAAATAAATGAGACCTTTATATCTGAACTCGGACGATATATTAATTGTATCGTCTTGACCAGATCTAATATATACTTTAATAAATTGTGTGAAACCCATGAGATTTAATTGAAAGCAAAAATAGCAATTTGAGTCACAGTTGTAATTTTGAAAATTATCTTGTAAAAAGTCTGGAGACATTGTGCTGCCATTGTAAATTTTAAAGAATTATAGACTAAAAGGAAAAGCCTAGAAGCTAATCTCCTTAAAAATGTCCCTCTCACAATCACTCTCTCTTTCCTCTTTTTTCCTTTTTCACGTTAAATTAGACAAACCAGAAAACAACTAGTGGCTGCCTTCCCAAATCCCCATCGTCCGGCCACCGTCCGTCAGCGGTGGTACCGTTCGGGGCGTATTTAGCTCAAAGAACATCGGCAGCACGAGAGCGGGTCCGGCCGTGCCTCAGATCGACGTTGTGTTGCAGAGCGAGAAAGTGGTTTGAAGCATTTTTAGAGCTAACTCCATGGTTAGAGTTAGTGACGATGTTTTGTGCCTTGGATTTATTGTGATTTGAATTTTGAAAATAACCCCTTTATTTATTTGAAATATTGGGCGGGGTTGGGACTCTTTTGAAACTTGATAGCAGCAAATTATTACAGATCTTTTGGCCATTGAATATGCAAGAGTTAATAGGAAGAAAAGATTAATCTCTTTTTTTATTATATATATATTTGGTAACTTTGGAGTTTGGAGTATGAGAACTTTCCTTATTTTGATCGCTGCAAATCAATTGAACTTAATTCTCGTTCTATGTGACTTTTGTTCTTTTGTAACAGAACGATTTCTTTTTTTTGTTTTTTATTCCAATATAATTACTCGTTAAAGGTGAAGCCGCCTAAGACCATGGCGACTAAATCTAATTACAAATAACATTAATTTTAGTCATATCTGAGCCAAGAGAAGAAAGGAGATACCTACCCTTATTCATTCAAAATGAATTTCTGGAGTTAGATATGCAGTACCTACTTTATCAGATAATATATAATATATAGATACAGAAAAATTTATATATAATGGACACTTATTAAAATTAAAAAAAAAGAAAAGTTTAAATTTTTTTCTAAATAGACACGTGTCAAAATTAAAAAAAAAAGTTTAAATTGTCTTTTAGTAGACACTTGTCAAGTAGTTGGACACTTGGACTTTCATTAATGGTCAAAATTGACTGAACAAGAATGGTTCAAAGTCTAATGACGAGTTAAGAGATTTTAAGATATAGAATTTGTAATCTTAGGAATTTATTTGAGGATTATATTTGTGATAGATGTACTATTGAAAATTTTGTAATATTATGAATTCTGCTCAAAGATTATACTAGATATGGATATTATTTTCATATATCAATTATTTCTAAATTAAGCAGTATTATTTTAATTAACGTTTTTTTCGAGCTGACGCAATTTTTAGCTCCTGATTCTTAGGAGGGGCGTTACAAGATCAAAAGAGAGAATAATAGCAGCGATATATTTTTTAATGGAGAAATTTTATTTAATAATTAAGTCCATACGGAAAGAGTCATAAATGACTATTAAATAGCACGATAAAAGCTCTTTAATAAAACTATTTCAGTCGATAGATAAAACAACACGTCTGAGACGCAAAAACTTAAAGCATTAAGGTCAGTCACTATCGTATAAAATCAAATTCCTAACTAGCTAGATAAATCTACTACCACCGATAGTAGAAATGCAGGACGATAACTTTCGTACGTACAAAAACATAAAAACTGAAAGGGAGATGTTAAATAGCAGCCATATATTACTAACTCGGCCGTCAGCCGTGCACTTTTGAGTTGGAGAAAATATTATCAATACGTCCAGCATTGGGTCCTTTTCATTATGTTGAGGGTGTGAATGAAAAATTAGATGCTCCTAGCTTATTTATTTGCACATAATTTTTGTTTGATTGAAATAGCAAATTAAAAATAAAACATGATTATACACATTATTATAAATAAAAATAGCTAAACTCGTAAACTTTGATGAAGATCATTATTAAGACATCGAGCCGATAAAGGCTTAGTTTGGTATTGCTTTTTCTTGCAAAATCTGCTTTTATTTGAGTAAAAGCTGATTTTAGTATTTGGTAAATCTATTTAAAAGTGTTTTTTGAAGAATTTTTTAAGAATCTACAGTCAAAATCAGAAGCAGCCTAAAGACAACTTTAGCTTTTAGATTATGCGGGAATCAGCATAGTACAATTAATAAAACTTTCATAATACCCATAATACCTCTAATGATATTTAAAATTTACAATCTTCTTAATCTAAAATTCAAACTCGTAATATAATATAATATAATAGTAATATTGTAACAAATAATATCATAATAATATTAATAACTTTAATATTATTATTTTATCATATAATATGATATTATAATTATATTATAATTATTTTAATAATATGATATTACAATTATAGGTAAGGTCTCTGGTCAGGCACTTGGAAAGTGCCTGACTAGTGAGACACTTTTATAATTGTGCATGAATTGTGTATATTTATAGGTAAGTTGTGTATATTTATATGTAAATCGTGTGTGTTAAGTTATAAGAAACGACAATGTATATTAATCCTCAAAACATGTATTTTTTATAGCAATTAGTGAACACATAAGTTATAAGAAATGACAATGTATATTAATCCTCAAAACATGTATTTTTTATAGCAATTTGTGAACACATAACATGAAAATATGTATATTGGCTCATTTGTTGTATTTCATGTTAAATATACACGATTTACATGTAAATATACACAACTTACCTGTAAATATACACAATTCATGCACAATTATATAAGTGCCTGATTGGTCAGACACTTTTCAAGTGCCTGACCAGAGATAATTCCTATAATTATAATATAATATTCTTATTATATTTATTATAATAATAATAATATAATAATTAATATAACTAAATATTAATATAATCTTATAATTCTAATATTATTATCTATTACAGTGTATTACACACGCCATAGTTATATAATATATTAATTATAACATATTTGTTTAATATAATATAATAATGATTTTATAATATAATATAATATAATATAGTTGTAATGTTTAATTATATTATAACTGAAATATTAATATTTCTTATGTAATATTGTAATATGTTTTATAATATTATAATTATATTAACCATTTTAATAATATTATCATATTCTATATCATTATAATATATTATTTAATAATAATTTTATTGTATTATATTAAATATAATAATAAATATACATTATATTGTAATTATAAATATTATAATAATAATAAATATATATTATATTATAATTATATATATTATATTATAGTATAATATAATATAGTCGTAATTTTTTACTATCCACAATAATTTAACATCATAATTTACTAAACACTATTACATTAATTTTAGAATTAGCACAGCTATTATAATTATAGTTTACCAAACACTCAGCTGCTTTTTGTAACAGCTACTTTTTCCTTCAACACAGTTAAAAATAATTTTTTTAAAATCTACAGCACTACAAAACTAAGCTAAAATCTTCATATTTCCAAGATCAGGAATTCACAAAACTGATTGAAACTGCACAAAGTTCTGATTCTAACGTATTTATATCACTCTTAATTTTTTTTTTCAAAATTTCCCTATAATACTACAAAACTTGACATCTCATTATATAGTCTAAGGCCTCGTTCATTTCGTTAGTTCAAAATTTTCTTTTATAAAAATTTAAATTAAACTTTTTTTTATTATAATGTTTTTTTCACATGAATTTATTTTTTAACTCAAATTTTTAATTCGAGACCTAAAACTTCATTTACTAATTATTAGACAAGAAATTAAAAATGATGTAATAAATTTGCATATCCTGATGTAATGACAGAATGATGATTATTAATCTGATCCACAACTATATTATAAAGAATTCAGCCAATTCCTATTAGACAAATTAGGAAACAGAAATCATTCAAATCGGCATGAAAGAAGTATGTCCAGCTGGCGCACTTATTTTTTTTCTTCCTTGTATGTGCATATTTGATCAGAATCCAGCTGTAACACCTATAAAAGTCGCCATAGTTGACTGACGCCTTCTATATAAAAATAAGGAGATAAAATTTAATTCCCTCTCAATATTTTTTGGAAAGGATTCTTTCTATAGATTGAGCTTCCCAAACCACATCAAAAACAGCATAATGATAAGGACTATTACTAATAAAATAAGACCCAAACTTGCGAAAAAAATAAAAAAAATAAAAAAGAGACCAAAAATTAAGCTTCTGACTTTTGCTGTAAATACCAAATTCCACAAACTTGTTCTCTCATCAACTCACTCAACATTTTATCCATTTCAACCATTATGGCTTCCTCTTCCTCAATCCATTTTCTTCTCTTCTGCTCTCTTCTTTTTTCCATTATATCCCTTTCCAAAGCGAAAACTACATCGTTCCGTCCGAAAGCTTTAGTTCTTCCAGTAACCAAAGATGCATTAACAAGCCAATACCTAGTCCAAATCAAAGAAAGAACCCCTCTTGTCCCCGTCAAGCTCACTGTCGACCTTGGCGGAGAATTCCTCTGGGTTGACTGCGAAAAGGGCTACGTATCCTCGTCCTTCAAGCCTGCTCGCTGCGGCTCGGCGCAGTGCAACCTCGCCCAGTCCAAAGACTGCGGCGAGTGCTATTCACCGCCCAAACCGGGCTGCAACAACAACACTTGCAGCCTCTTCCCTTACAACCCTTTCATCCGTACGAGCACCAGCGGAGAGTTTGCCTCCGACGTCGTATCGCTCCAATCGACCAACGGGTTCAACCCCGGAAGAGTGGTTTCAGCGCCGAAGGTTCTCTTCACTTGCGGTTCAACTTTTCTCTTGGAAGGCCTCGCTTCCGGGGTCACCGGAATCGCTGGCCTCGGAAGGAAGAAGATTGGACTTCCTGCTCAATTAGCTTCGGCTTTCAGCTTCAACAGAAAATTTGCTGTTTGTTTAAGCTCTTCCGTAAGATCCAAGGGTGTTATATTCTTTGGGAATGAGCCCTACGTTTTCCTTCCAAATATTGACGTCTCCAAAAATCTTATCTACACACCGTTGATCCTCAACCCGGTGAGTACTTCCGGGAGTTACTACGAAGGCGAAACTTCTGCGGACTACTTTATCGGAGTAAAATCGATCAAGATCAACGACAAAGTTGTCCCCTTGAACACCACGTTGTTGACCATTAACAAAGACGGTTATGGTGGGACAAAGATTAGTACTGTTGAGCGCTACACAGTTATGCATACTTCTATATACAATGCTGTGGTTCGCGCCTTTGTGAAGACGCTCTCCAAGGTGCCCCGAGTGAAGGCGGTGGCGCCTTTTGGGGCCTGCTACAGCTCGAAGAGCCTCGGCAGCACCCGAGTCGGGCCCGGCGTGCCGTCGATCGACCTTGTCTTGCAAAGCCAGATGGTGGTTTGGAAGATTTTTGGCGCCAACTCCATGATTCAAGTTAGTGATGATGTTTTATGCCTTGGTTTTGTTGATGGTGGCGTTGAGCCAAGGACTTCTATTGTGATTGGAGGGCATCAGATTGAAAACAATCTTCTGCAGTTTGATTTGGCTTCTTCTAGGCTTGGATTTAGCTCTTCATTGCTGTTCCGACAAACAACTTGCGCCAACTTCAACTTCACATACAATGCTTATTAGGGAATCTTTGTGTTAATTAAATATTATTCCAATTGCCACTAGCTTTTGTTTAAGTGCTTGATTTTTTACGTGTTTAATAGAGGTCATAATTGATATCCAGTGGTCCTAGACATATAAAGGAAACAATTGGGTATTTGCTTGTAATAAGATTTTGAGAGTGAAATATGTTATTTTGTTTTCTTTTTATTTAGAACATACTTTATTATCAAGTTGAGCTGATTTATACATATTAAATTATAAAGCTTGATTTTTACTAACCAGAAAGTATGTATATAGGATAAATTAAGACAACAGCGTATTTTTTAATGATCACATGTATGAACAATTTACTTTAGTTTATGTTGATAATCAAACAATTAATTCTTGTATTAGAATCCTACATTGATTGGAGATATTGGAATGATCCACTTAATAAGTTGAGAGCAATACTCCTCTAATAAGCCGGTTTTACTAGGTTGAGTTAGGCCAATATCATTTTATTCTTGTAAAATGGTATAAGAGAGAGCCCAAGTTTACAATGTTGGGTCCCCCAATATTGACTTATTCGCAGCAGTTTGGCATGGTCCACGTTGTGCGTGAGGGGGCGTACTAGAATTTCACATTGACTGGAGATATTGGTATGATCCACTTAATAAGGTGAGGGCAATCTTCCCGTAGCAAGCCGGTTTTGTTAGGTTAAGTTAGGTCCAATATCTTTCGATTTCAGTAAAAGGGTATCAAAATAGGCCCAGTTTTACAATGTCGGGTCCCCCAATATTGACTTATTCGCAGCGGTTTGGCATGACCGACTTAATGAGGTAAAGGCAATCATCCCTTAACAAGCCGGTTTTGCTAAGTTGAGTTAGGCTCAATATCCTTTTATTTATGTAAAAATATGATTTATTAATTATATTGACTTGATCAGATCTAATACATACTTGACAAGCTATGACCAGATCTAATACGTTTTATTTTATTAAGATTATATTCTTTCTCTCTCTGTTAAAGAATGACTTTTAAGCTTGTATTACTAAGAAAACATTAATTATTTGCATAATATTCATTCTCACATTGTATTGGATTATTTTACTCATTTGATCCGTACACTTTTTTTTTCCTTGTTCACTCAAAAATTTCTCTCATCATTCTCTCTATACAGATTCTGCTCTCTCTTTCTCTGTTAATAAGAACCTCAAATTGATAAATTAATCAAAGATAAAAACAAAAAACAATACGAAGTGAGAATTAGCCATTTTCACCAAAAATCAATAATAATAATAATGCCATAATACGATTATATAATAAAGAAAGTACATTCTAGAAACCAAACACAGATCAACAACTACCCAAGTATACGAATTCCAAACAATGTCTAAAACCTAAAATATTATAATAGGACAAATGTCTAAAACATCTAACAAGCTCCCAAAAGCATGTTAGTTTCACAAAAGTAAACCCTCCTATATCACGGCTGCCTTATCTCCCTCAAAATTCTCCTCACAAATGTCGAACGCAATGAGCCATCTATGGACATAAACGTTGCCACGTAATGTGGTTTCTCCAATATGTGGATATCTTTTCCATCTCCATCGCCTTGAATAAGCCGCTCACTAATTAGCCTCATTTGCTCAAATATTTTCTTGAATGAAGATGCGACTTCCAACATTCCATCTTGCATATTTTTATATAAAAGTAGTTAATTCGCGTTGAAAGAAAAAAATATTAGTAATCTAAAAATAAAAGTAAATGCAAAGATTGAACCTGAACAAACCTGAACATAACTCAACCATGCCTCATCACTATCAACTTCCCCACACTTTTTTAAGGCATCTTCTTCAAACTTACTCCATGTCCGTCTAGAACTTTTTCCCCACTACTTTGTAAATTGATTTGGCTGCTTCTCCCAGAATCCATGCCTCAACAAATTTTTATCATGGGATGAGGCATTTCAATATTTCACTTTAGCTCTTCATGTTCAAAAAAAAAAAAAAAAAATGTATTCAAACACCCCCGGATTTCAATAGAAATTGCCTGAAATGGAAAACTGAGATTTGTCATCGGGAAATGAAATCGCCGGAAAACGCCATTAGAGGAGCTCGAAGGAGGAAACTGAGGAGATCGAACGAGAGAATCACACCACCGGATTTGTCACTGGGAGATGACGTCGTCGCCGGAAAAAGCCATTGGAGAAGCTCGAAGGAGAAAAGGAGAGGGTCCGGAGCTATCGAAGGGGAGTGAAGAAAGCTGGGTAAAATAACACACTCATTTGCAAGAAACAATACAAAACGAGTTAATACATCATTTTTTTTTTTTGGGTATTATACAATACTGGGTGTATTGTATTAATTGATACATGGTATTATTTTAGACAATATAAATAGGGCACCAAACATTGTATTATTTTAAAATAATATAATACGGAGCTCTAAGTGCGCAAAGTATGTTCTTAGTTAATATAATATTTGTATTGTGTTCCTAAATTTTTCAACTAGGTTCGGATATGACCCTATATCGACCCGACCCTGACTTCTAATCGTGTCTAACCTCTACATGAATCATTGATCTATTATAAAATAATACAATACGCCAAAATAAGCCGTATTCATTAATACGATATAGACTTAATTAATTTTTCATTTTTATTAATTTATACAATACGATAATCACACAAAATATTATACTATTATATTAATATACAATACGATGCTGTAATAGAATTTAATAAACATGCCCGGTGTGTATAGGAAACAAAAAAAACAAAAAAACAAAAAACAAAAAAAAGAAGAAGAGAGAAACAACATCCAGGAAAATCAGAGAGTACAACCAAAATATCAGCAATCACTGAGGCGCCATATATTTTGAACGCAAGATAAAATCTTTTCTAATTTTTTTTTTCTCCACAAAAGTATAGTACATTTCAAAGTCGTTACCTCAAAGGTCCATCAATTATAACACGTATGTACATAGAACTAGTGGCACTAGTCGGGTAAAGAAAATTAATGTCATAGAACTAGTGGAACTAATCGGGTAAAGAAAATTAATGGTACAAACCAACCCATATAGGCCCAATGACCCACCTTCATTACTGACGAGAAGATAAAGTAAAAAGAATAGGGCTGATAATTTAGGTTACGACAAGATAACACGATACGAAATTCGCATTAAATTAGAGGATTTAAGTTTTTTTTTTTTTTAAATAAGTTTAGCTAAAAAAAGAGTTGAACGCGCCATACACAATTAAATAAAAGGTCAACACGATATGAGCCCTTCAATACAAAATTAACTCGAAATGGCCCGTTTAATAAACACGTCATAAATAGGTTGACACGGACACGATACATTTTTAACCCATTTAATATCTGTTTTATTTAGATATGTATAAATATATTTTTTTAAGAAAAAAATAGGTGATATATAAGGAAGGTCATAGGGTTTCCTCTCACATTTTTATGGAATTTCTATTTTAGTTTAATGTTTTGCTATATTGTTGTTTTTATTATTTTTTTAATATTTTTTTATTATTAAGAATTGAATTTCAGCATACAGGTAGTAAACATGTTTGCAGGTTGACATGACACGTTGTTAACCTGTTTAATAAATGGGTTGGTCATGTCGTGTTCGTGTCAACTTTATAATAAACGAGTCGTGTTTGAGTTTCTTATTCTATCGCGATTATTAAATGGGACATGTTCGTGTTAAGAATTATAGTGTCAATAGAGAAGTATGACACAACACGAACCCGATACGGTGTTGCCCTTACAAAAGACTACACCTTAAGTGGACAATTTCATCCTTTCAACTCTCCAAAGCTCTCAACTTACACTAAAATTAAACAAAACGCGCCAACTCACAAAATCTCAAATTATCTCCCAAAAATATTACACTATAAAATATCACACTATAAATTCCAATACTTTCCACTTCTTCACCCATATTGACACAATTCACAAACTTCTAAATTACTAGCTTCTAAAAATGGCTTCTGTACCATATAATTTTCTTCTCTTTTTCTCTCTTCTCTTCCCTCTCTCGGCAGCCCAAACCTCTTCCCGTCCAAAAGCTCTAGTCCTACGCGTCAAGAAAGACGCCCCCACTCTCCAACACTACAGCTTCCTCTTCCAACGCACCCCTTCCATCCCCATCAAGCTAACCGTAGACCTCGGCGGCAAGTTCATTTGGGTCGATTGCGACAATGGCTTCAACTCCTCCACCAAAACGACCGTCCCTTGCCACTCGGCGGAGTGCGCGCTGAGCGGCACGAGCGCTTGCTCTTCCAACGGCATTGACGCATTTTGCGTCGAATCTTCATACAACCCCATTGTCAAAGTCAGCAGCACGGGCGACTTCTCACAAGACGTCGTCCACATCCAATCCACCGATGGAAAAAACCCCGGCAAAATGGTTCGCGTCCGCAAGTTCCTTTTCACCTGCGCGCCGACGTCCCTTTTGAACGGCTTGGTGCGCCATTCCGTGGGAATAGCAGGCCTTGGAAGGAGCAAGGTCGCGATTCCTTCGCTTTTCTCCGCGGCTTTCGGGTTTCCGAGGAAGTTCGCCCTTTGCTTGAGCTCTTCTACTAATGCTCATGTTTATGGTGTCGTTTTTCTCGGAGATGGGCCTTATGTTTTTCTTCCAGGGATTGATATGTCCGAGTCTCTCACTTACACTCCTCTCATCCTCAACCCCGTGAGCACCGCGCCCAGTTCTTCCCACAACGGGCCTTCAGCCGACTACTTCATCGGCGTAAAGTCGATTAAGGTAAACGGAAAAGTTGTCCCATTAAACACTTCACTGCTTTCCATTGACGGTAATGGGGTTGGTGGAACAATGATCAGCACTGTTGAGCCCTACACGGTGTTGGAAACCTCCATATACAAGGCTGTTGTTGGCGCATTTGTCAAAGCACTCCCCAAGAACGTGGCTAGGGTTTCACCCGTATCGCCTTTCGGAGCGTGTTTTAGCGCGAAGAACATTGCGCCAACGCGGCTCGGCCCGTCAGTGCCGACAATCGACCTTGTGTTCCAGAACGAGAAGGTGGTGTGGAGCATTTACGGGACAAACTCCATGGTTTATGTTAACGACAAAGTAGCGTGTCTCGGATTCGTCGACGGCGGTAAAAAGCCTGCGACTTCAATTGTGATCGGAGGGTATCAGATTGAAGACAATTTATTTCAGTTTGATTTGGATAATTCTAGGCTTGGATTTAGCAACACATTAAACTCGCGACAAACAACTTGCTCCAACTTTAACTTCACTTCCACAGGTAATATTTAGAAGGGACTTCTCTTAGTTCTGTTATTGATCTAGTACTACCTCTGCATTTTGTGTCTGTTAGGTGATAAATAAATTGCCATTTCATACAGTCACTTTAAATGGCTTAGTTCACCAGTACCATATTTGTATGGCGTGTTTCTATCAGTGCTCTTTTTTTTTTCCCCCTTATTTTTTCCCTTATCAGAGCTCTTTTTTTTTTCTTTTTTTTTGCCCCCCTTATTTTTTCCCTTGTCAGAGCTCTTTGTATTTTGTCTGTTTGGTGATAAAATGCCATTTATAACAGTCGCTTTAAATGGCTAATTAGCTCAGTACTATATTTGTATGCGGTGTTTTTATGAGAGTTTTTTTTTTCCTTCTTTTTCTTGTTGTAATATCTTTCGAGTGTCTTCAAACAAAAAAAAAAGTTTGATTGAAATAAATGCTATTCATGCAATATCTCTCTGTTTTTTTTTTTTAAGTTTGTTGGCATAATAAATATGCAGTATGAGGTACCATTCTATGGTGTCGACATCTATCAAAGTAATAAAAAATTTTAGAATGAATTACACATAATAATATTTACCTTCTTTTCTTAAGACATGGCAAATTAACATAGAACTCATAGAAATACATATCAAGTGTTTAGATAAAAAAAAAAAAAATGTATGTTTGGGAATGATTGGGAGCATACACAATCGATCCTTACCAAACAAAGAAATTATTCATTTATTGGTCTAGTCTGAATCTATGAACGTAGTCAACAAATCCAAACAATACCTAACTTTTTTTGGAGAAACCCTTCATTAATGCATATATCTCTCTGGCAAAAGGGAAAAGAAAAAAATTTTCTTTAAGCCACAATTTAGCTATGTCAATTATTTGGACAAGTCTCTCTCAAAAACATCTTCCAAAGCTTTTCCATCCAACATCTACATTCGAACGTTTTCTTCTTTTTTTTTTCTGTATATTTTGTTTTCACTATAGTTAATCGCATTGCAAGTGGGGTTGAAAACTCGGAAATGCATTTGAGTTAGCCCTAGGTTTAGTTTCTACATTCTAAATAATAAAGCGTATCCATATTAGCAACAAAAAAAAAAGGTATAATGTTGACGAAAGCATGTTTAATTTTTTATATTGTCCACGTCATGTATGATCAACACTTTGTTTTACTATTGTTAAACAGGACTGGTCCACCAGTCTCTTTATGCATGGGAGGCCGGTTGCCTTCTAATTCTGGACCAGTCGAACACCTTGCATCATTTTAACTATATGAATTGCTAAATTTTCATTAAAATCGATTATCTCTTAAGCATTAGGAGATATAAAAAAAAAAAAAAAAAAAAAGGCTTAGTACCTTATAAGTATGATATTCACTAAATGTTTAGAATCTTATAGGCCACATCAAATTTTTGAAGCCCGCATTGAATAACTTACTTTTCAGTTATTTTTATCCAAACCTTTCCAAACAAGAATAAATAAAAGGTAATTTATTTTGAGATACTTGAAATAAAAATAAATAAATGAATAAAAGAGAAAAGTAAAGATAGAAGAGAAGAATAACAAAAAATTTAACATGGTTCGACAATATGGTTATATATCCACAGATCAGGAATACATTTGTCATTCGTTCATCGACACCTTATGATGAACCTGCTTATGAATATAAATTGGGAGGATTTCCTAATAATATAACTTGTCAATGAGTAATAACTAATTCCCCGAATTCATGAGTAGGCTTTAGTAAAGTTCCTTCACTTAAGCTAATAACAATAACACCTAATATGTACAGATCATGGAAATAATTACAAAGTAATTACAAGGATCCATGGGGTCAATCAAATAAATTTATTGCCTTCAAAGTAATTCTTTAACTTAAAACTTGTATAAGTCGAAACAACGCGGCCTATAAATCTCGGTTCAAAAACATATGTCCATCTTATGGCACGTAGCATAGCCATGCACAAGTGGCAGTAGTCGGCCATGAAAATTAATGGGTACAAACCAACCCATATTGGCCCAATGGCCTCCTTCATTACTGATGACCAGAAGATAAGTCAAAAGACTACACCTTTAGTGGACAATTCGATCCTTTCAACTCGCATAGCCTTCAACTTGCACCAAAACAAAACGCGCCAACACATAAAGTCTCAAATTATATCAAATTCTAGATATCCCAAAAATCACATTATAAATTCCAATACCTTCACACTACTTCTTCACCCTCATTAGCACACAATTCAAAACCTTCTCAATTACTAGCTCCTAAAAATGGCTTCTTTTCACAATTTCCTTCTCTTTTGCTCTCTTCTCTTCTCTCTCTCCGCAGCCCAAACCCCATCCCGTTTAAAAGCTCTTGTCCTACGAGTCAACAAAGACGCCACCACTCGCCAATACTACACCCTTCTCGCCCAACGCACCCCTCCCGTCCCCATCAAGCTAACCATCGACCTCGGCGGCGAATACCTTTGGGTAGATTGCGGCAATGGCTTCAACTCCTCCACCAAAACGACCGTCCCTTGCCGCTCGGCGGAGTGCAAGCTCAGCGGCAGCAACGTCTGCACTTCCAACGGCATTGACGAATTTTGCGTCGTATCCCCACGAAACCCTTTTCTCGGTACCGGCACCATCGACGACTTCTCACAAGATGTCCTCTACATCCAATCCACCAACGGATAAAACCCCGGTAGAGTGGTTCGCCTCCGCAAGTTCCTTTTCTCCTGCGCGCCGACCTATCTCTTGCACAACTTATCGCGCAACGCCGTGGGAATGGCCGGCTTTGGTCGGAACAAAGTCGCGATGCCTTCGCTTTTCTCCGCGGCTTTTGGCTTCCCGAGGAAGTTCGCTCTTTGCTTGAGCTCTTCCGCAAATTCTGATGATTCGGGCGTCGCTTTTTTTGGAGATGGACCTTACGTTTTCCTTCCAGGGATTGACATGTCCCAGTCTCTCACTTACACTCCTCTCATCCTCAACCCCGTGAGCACCGCGCCCAGTTCCACCCACAACGGGCCTTCAGCCGACTACTTCATCGGCGTAAAGTCGATTAAGGTAAACGGAAAAGTTGTCCCTTTAAACACTTCACTGCTTTCCATTGACGGTGATGGGGTTGGTGGAACAATGATCAGCACTGTTGAGCCCTACACGGTGTTGGAAACCTCCATATACAAGGCTGTTGTTGGCGCATTTGTCAAAGCACTCCCCAAGAACGTGGCAAGGGTTTCGCCCGTATCGCCTTTCGGAGCGTGTTTTAGCGCGAAGAACATTGTGCCAACGCGGCTCGGCCCGCCAGTGCCGACAATCGACCTTGTGTTGCAGAACGAGAAGGTGGTGTGGAGCATTTACGGGACAAACTCCATGGTTTATGTTAACGACAAAGTAGCGTGTCTCGGATTCGTCCACGGCGGTAAAAAGCCTGCGACTTCAATTGTGATCGGAGGGCATCAGATTGAAAACAATTTATTACAGTTTGATTTGGATAATTCAAGGCTTGGATTTAGCAACACATTAAACTCGCGACAAACAACTTGCTCCAACTTTAACTTCACTTCCACCGGTAATATTTAGAAGTGACTTCTCTTAGTTCTGTTATTGATCTAGTACTACCTCTGCATTTTGAGAGTACTGTAAGGTGATAAATAAATTGCCATTTAAAACAGTCGCTTTAAATGGCTTAGCTCACCAGTACTATATTTGTATGGCGTGTTTCTATCAGAGCTCTTTTTGTTTTTTTCCCCCTTATTGTAAAATCGTTTGAGAGAAATAATATTCATGTAATTTTTTTTTTTGGTTAAAGTTAGTTGGTATAATAAATATGTAATATAGGGACATTTCAGTGGTGTCGACTTCTAGCGAAGTAATAATATATATATATATATAATGAAGTAATGGATATATAACTTATTAGAACTAACTTCATGTGACATAATTTTATATTCTTTAACTTTGAGTTTGATTATTTATTATGTTCAAGTACGAGCGAGCAAAAAAGTTTCAACTTTATAGTCGAGTGATGCCAGCTAGGTTTTAAGACAGGCAAAATTTACGTACTCAAAGAAATAAATATTGAATGGTAAAATGAAATTTTTTTTTTTAGGATTATTGATTGTGAAGATATATGATATTCCTTAGTAAACAAAGAACTCATGCATTCACTACGTAACACTGAGGCGACGTCGTAGTGATTTATTAGTCCCGTTGCAGAATGTATGTAAAATAGTAGTCAACAAATTAAAACAACACCTATCTTTTTGGCGAAACCCTTTATTAATGCACAATATTCTTTCTGCCAAAAAGGAAAAAGAAAAAAAAATTGTTTCATTCACAATTTGGCTATGTCAATTATTTGGACCAATCTCCCTCTAAAAATTGTAAGTGTGGTTCTATTCACATCCTTTTTTAACTCTCCACACGCACCTTCTAAATTCACATGATGATTGTCTTTTTTTGTCATTTGTGTGAGTCTTTTTATCATTATGAATATTATGAATATTAATTTAAAGTGGGGTGTAAAGAATAAAAAAGGCTTTGCGAACAGAACCACCCAAATTATGATTCAAATTTTTCTATGGAACATCTACATATTCCATGTATTTTATTTTATTTTATTTTATTTTTGCATTTTTTGTTTTCACGATATATTTGATCTTATTGAAGGTACATTTTAGTACATTATCAATGATAATTTCATCCCCATAAGTGAATTGGACCCGTAAATTTTTTGGCTAATCCACGTCAGTTAAAAGTTTGTGTAAAGTGCCCATGAGCCCCTATCATTGTTGCCTTGTCAATTTTTAATTGCACAACAATATTGATTGCTATCATATATTTTAGAAACAATTTTTTGGATGACGAAAGTCTGACAAAGTTCACAAATATGGACCCAAACGTGAGCATTTACGGTTGAATTTATCTTATAAGGATTAAAGTTTGGTATCCAATGTTGTAAGAGAAAAACTAGATTTACATCTAAAAGAGAAGGCCTATATAGTGCCGAAACTGTCTCCTTTTTTAAATGAAATTGTGACGACCCTAACTTTTAATCATCATCCTACGTTCATACTTAGCATTACTTAATCTCTACTACTTTCTAATTCTATTCTCATTCGTAAAATGCCTTAGCATTTTATTTTCAACTATACATGAAATGTTGTAGCATTCTGCTAGCATTTTGTTACATTAATCGTACCTTGTGACTAGAGGTTGCTATGCATAACCTCATAGTCCCGTGATCTTTA